TCATGCACTCTTTTCCCTATTATTCCATAATGCTGCGATCTCCAAAGACGAGCATAGGGTGGCAGGACAGGAGTATCTACTGAGCCAGTGGAAGAAAATATTAAAATATCTCTTTCCCTTATTTTTATCTCATCCACTTAAAATTTTTATCTATGTATTTCCTTTCTAACATTCACAATACATTTGTATGACAGTACACAAGATTTTAGGAAGTTCTTTGAGGAAGAATACACTCAGGATTACTTTTATTAACTGGGGTATGTGAAAAAATGCTGACGCAGGGCGCCTGGGTGGCTCAATTGGTTAAGCTGCCGACTTTGGCTCAGGTCATGATCTTACCATTCATGAGTTCCAGCCCCACACTGGGCTCTGTGCTGACAGTTCAGATTTTGTGTCTCCGTCTCTCTCTGCCCCTTCCCCACTCACACTCTGTCTCTTTCTCAAAAATAAATACATACTAAAAAAATCTTTAAAAAATGCTGATGGGTAGTTATATACAGTATACATAGAGTGATAGGATTTAAAATTTGGAACTTGAAAGAGAGACCTTTTTTTAAAGCTTTCTGTGGCCCTTCTGGTAAAAAATGGAGTGGCTTATTAGAAACCTATCAATATAACTTATCTTTCCACAGATAAATGCCTCTACAACAATGATTTTCAATGAGAGGTAAAGAGTACCTGGAGGCTTGTTAAAAAACAAAAACAAAAACAGATTCTTGAGCCTTCCACACCCAGAGATTCTGATTTAAAATCCAGAGTGGAACCCAAAACGCCAGTAGCCTTGAGAGATTAGGATAGCATCTCAACACTACATACATTCTAGGCCAGGTAATTCTTTGTTGTGAGGAGCTGTTCAGTCCTGTGCATTGTAAGATATTTAGCATTACCCCTAGCTTCTACCCACTACCCACTAGAAGGACCCACTCCACTCCCTGTATGTCTACCAAACAGGTCTCCAGATGTTGGCCAATGTCTCCTGGAGAGCACAATCTCCCCAGACTGGAACCAGAGAGAGAAGCTATGAGAGAGAAGCTATCCAAAGAAGACAAACTTTGAGAAACGCCATCCTTAATCAGAAGAATAAAACAATATGATACATGTAGAATAATATGGGTATTAGAAGCATACATTGTATAAATTGAAATAAACAGGCTTCCCATAAAGGAAATCTGATTAGCCACTATAAACTCCTGACAACTCAGCTAAGCTTCTAAGTCAAAGCTCTTCTCATGTAATTTCAACTTGAAGATTTTCTCCCTAGCTTCCATTTTAAATTATTTTTAATTAACTTCACTGGCATTTTGCATCCTGCTATGAAAAGTCTGCCTAATAGTCTCAGAGGACTCTCCCAAGAGAGAAGAGTGCATTAAATCACACATTATCACATTAAAGTATATTCCAGCACTCACAGTCCAACAGTCTAAGTCTTGGCAAATGCAAGGGGGGCGGGGAGGGGAGGCGAGGCGCGGTGATGCAGGGACTGGAACAGGCTCAAGTGATTCACAGTAATCAAAGCCTATTATCTTCAATTCATCCATCGTAGGAAAGATTTATATTGATTCTTTATTTCAACCACATTCATCACAATGACATATATTCCCCAGTTTGTGGTTCTACCCTGATTTCTGTGGACTGCATGAGACCTTGACCAAGTCACTTGAATGCTTTGGACATCCTTTCTAAAAAGTGAGCCATGTGGGGGCACCTGTGTGGCACGGAAGGTTGAGCATCCGACTTTGGCTCAGGTCATGATCTCACTGTTCTTGAGTTTGAGCCCCGCGTCAGGCTCTGTGCTGACAGCTCAGAGCCTGGAGCCTGCTTCAGATTCTGTGTCTCCCTCTCTGTCTGTCCTTACTTTGCTCACACTGTCTCTCAAGAAATGAATGTTAAAAAAAATTAAGAAGTGAGCCAGTTGGACTAAGTTATTTCTAAAAAATCCTTCTAGTCCCAAGTCGCAAATGTATGAATGAAGCACTTAATTAAAAAGCTCTTTCAATTACATGGATTCTAGTAACTATTGCACAAAAAAGTAAGTACCTACATTGTCAGTGTTGATAACACAATGAATTTTAAGATGCTTAACCCAAGAACGAAAAAAAAAGACAATTAGATGAATCACATATACAAGATCCATTCTCTCTTAAAACAAAAGTAAGTTTGGCCCAGAATATCCTTCACCTACCAAGACATTAATACAGGGACTTTTCACGGGACAGCAAATCAAACCAATCTTTCAGAAGTTACTCACAAATAGGGAAACAGTTACAAACACATGTTTACATTCTAGTTTCTAGATCAGCTGCTTAGAGGCCATTTCCAGCCTGAAAGCGTAGTTGTTTTGTTGGCCTGGTCAAAAATTGTATTTAGTTAATTGCCAACTTTTAAAAAGGGAGCAATGATACATAAAAATCCGTATTTCCAGTGTCTCTTGAAATACTGGAAGATTTTAGCCCAAGCGGCAACACTGAGCTGGAGCTGAGCATCACTGCCTCCTGGCCCAGAAGCTGTCCCAGGGCCCACGATCCCGGCTGCTTACAGGCTCCTGCCACCCCTCCTGGTCGCCCCTTAATGCCTGGAGCCTATGAGCATATGTCCTCGCTCTGTAACAATTTTCAAAATACACAGAAAATGCTTTTAATGCTTTCAAACCAATAGAAATTTCCTTGCAGAATCACAGGCGAAGAGCAGAAATTTTAGAGAGCTAGAACAATGCTCTTAATAAGGAAAACCTTCCTAACCCTGAATGCTGATGAGTAGAATCAGCTACACTGTAAGGTTTCTAACTAACCAACTGGAAGAATGGAGGAAGCGATTTTAGATTTGATGGGGAGTTCACTAGAGACCCCCTATGATTTCTTTTACCTTCAACAGTATGCCCTTAGTTAGGAGTATAGATAGCTCATCATGATATAGTAATACATGCACCGGTTTTATATTGACATCTATCTATCGTTGCCTACAAGCTAAGACTTGACCTTATAGTTCCTCTTCATGAAAAGATATTTTCTGTTAATTGCCATAAAACACTCCATTTTTCTCACTGATTTTAATATATAAAATTTTTAAATTAAGTTTCAATTAACTAAGCAGCCACATCTGACCAGAGAATTATTAAACTATTCTTCTGAAAGGATGATGAAGAATCCAAGGACAGAAGAAAGACCTCAAGGAAGAGCTGGAGAGTAGGGAGCTCTGTGAGCAAAGCTTCTTACTTCACTGAGGTCTTTACCAAGTGAAAGCCTGTATCTGGAAGCTTTTACCCTACCCACTTACTCCAAAATTTGTTTCCTTTCAATATACCGTATGAAATCTGCTCTTTTGAGACATATTTTAACAAGATTCTGAGGATTTCCTTTTTAAAAACTCAACTTTGTATTACATGTACAGTTAATTTGATGCTTATTTAAAGGATGTGTGTCAAAGATAAACTAAAAAAAAAGGTACTATGTAACTATGTTGCTGAGGGTAAGCCAATTTTCAGGTACAATATAACCCAAAAGTTTCCACGCAGATCACGTTGAATGCAGTCAACCGCCCTTCAGACCATTCTAGATGCTCACTTCTTAAAGTCAAAATCATGTCATATTTTACAGCATTGCACTGCATTACATTACGTACCACTGCAAGTTCTAGCTGACTCTAAAGATGCATATTATTAAAGTCACTTGGACACTGGATATCACCATGTCCAAATCAACTGCTTTTGTAGTGTATTTGATGTGGATTTTGACATAAGCATTGTTTAACAATAGTGATTAACAGCTCAAGTGTGAAACATCAGTGAGTCGATAAGACTCTGAAGGGCATGCCTAACAACAGGAAAATGACTGTTGGCAATTCGACGTGCAGAACATGGGCTGCTACTGGGAAAACATGTTTATCATTCTGATTCGCTCTATTTTCTGTTTAGAAAAGAATGACTCACTGTTTAGAAGCAAAAAAGCAATGATAAACATAATTCAATTTAACAGCCCTGAATGCCAGAACATTTTAATTTAGCCATGGATGTTTTCTGCTTTCACCTCTTCTGAGTTCAACATTAACTTCTTCCTTTCCATTTTTGCAGCATAAAACAAAAACAAAAACAAAATAAAACAAACCACACCAATCCCAAGAAGCTCACTACGTTATTATCAGAGAAATAGAAAAGCTATCAGATATGCTTAAAATCGAGTATACAGTAGGTTTTGGAGACCTGGAAAATTATTTAGCTTATATCAATATCAGAACTTTGTAAAACAGAGCCACCCTTAGAGGAAAATGCATGACAAGAGTAAGGCCCTTGCTCATTGAAAACCTCAAGGATGTTACCTTCAAGAGAGCAAAGATATTGCCTGACTTGTTTATAACCTTGTTAGGAAAGTTTCCCAGAAACGAGATTATTTTCTTTATAGGCTGCCTATGTTTATACTCTGGAAGAACACAAAGGAGTTAATTCATTCTTGGAAAGTGTTTCTTTTTAAAGCCCGCTTCTTTCAAAACAAAACAGTTATTGCAACGTATGAGTGAGCCATTCCAGAGCAACTGGTCACAGAAACCCAGATCATCAACTGAGTTGCAGAGTGGCTCACAAGAAACGAAGAGGAGCCCAGAGTGCAAGCTTGTTTAGAGAGCAGCAACAGACCTGGATCTGATGAAGACACAAGAAATGACGTGAAGCAGGGGAGAGTGCCTCAGATCCCACATACCGAAGTTTTAGGCCCCAAAATGCATATGCTTAAGAAAGAAGCAATCGTGTCATCCAGTTTCCCTGCAGGCAAAGGAAGGGGGAGTGGAAGGACCAGCGGATCCCGCCCTCCTATCCGGTTGTTGATCTAGGGCTCCAGTCCCGGAGAACTTTCTTGAGTAGCACTAACTGTGCAAAAGTTCACAACTACTAGGTGAGAATCCGTCCTCCCTGCACCCCCCTCCACCCCCCTCCCCCAATCAGTAAATGTGCGAACAGATTTGTAAAATGCAACAATGACAAAGCGGCTCGCAACTTGCAAGCAGGCACTCACCCTGGGCTGGGGCGCCCAGCCGGCCGCCGCCCGCCTCGGCCCCGCGCGGGGGCCCGGGAGCCGGGGCTTCGCCCGCGCCGGACATGGGCCGCTCCGCCGAGCCCGCGCAGCGCTGCCGCCTAGCTCGCCGCCCCGGGGGCGGACCACGAAGGGCTGTTAGGTGGTGGGTGCAGAGAACTGACTGCTTCTGGCGGGGGAGGGGGGAAAAAGTGTTTTCAGAGACCAGCACGCCACCCCTGCGGGACATTCCCTCCTCCTCCACTTCCCTCCCCCAAACCCCACCCCAAAGAACTTTTGATTTGAAACCCAGAGGAAAACTGCTGCCCCGCACGTTGACAGTGGTGGAGTTGGGGGGCGGAGGAGGGTAGTCGGAGGCAGGCACTGAAAGGGGGCGGGGAAGGGAGACAGGATTTGGGAGCCCGGGGAAGGGGACCAAAGCCCTCCTCCTTCTGGCCCGGGAGACCACCACCTACCTCGGCATCCCCCCTAATTCTCTCAAAGCCCCTTCCTCCTCCTCCTCTTCCGCCCCGGAAAGTTAGCGAGGATCCAGCGGCTTCGGCATGTCGCCCCGGTGGCCTGGCGGCAGTGGCGGCCGCCCCTGCACGTCCCTCCCCGCCTCCCTCCGGCTCAGCCCAGACACTGCAGTGGCTGCAACTGCGCCAGTGGCCGCTCTTTTGACTCCGTGTTCTCCGCCCTCTTTCCAGCCAGTTCAGTCGGGCCAGCTCCCCAATAAGGGGGACTGTTCCTCCTCTGGCTCTCTTTCCCCCTGCCTCCACTCCTCCACTCCCGAAACACTTCTCTCTCTGTGGCTCTTTCTTCATCACATCCGGATCGAGAGGCCTCGAACTCTTGGCGGGCCGCCCAAGGCTGGGGGCGGTGCAACGTGGGCTCCCTTGCCCTGCGCTGTCTGGGTCAGGAGGCCAAAGCCTGATGGACTGGCCCCGGGTAAGGGGCTCCTCTAGGGGCTGAGAGAAAAGAGGGAGGTGGCTGGTTCCTGTCTCCCCAGGCATTTTCCTGCCGAGACTTACCCCATTCCCTCTCTCCCAGCCTTTCTTCCCAATTCTGTCCCACACCCACTGAATATCTGGGAACTCCCTGAGTGAAGGAGAAAACTTTAGGGGTGACAATGCAAAACAAACAAACCCAAAATACAAATATTCATCGATCTTTTCCTGAGAGGATAAGCAAAAATATGGTTTTGAAACCCCGACCCTTAGCTCAGTGTTTAAAGTCTGTGCCTCCGAAGTGACCTTTATTCTCTTTTTCGGGTCTTTATTCTGGTCAAACAGGATCCTGGATTGGTAAAACCAGTTGCACTTGCTTGAATCAACTGGAGGCATCCAGGCAGACAAGGTTGACATCCCAGAAGTCACCATGGCCCAGGGCCCCAAGCCAGGCCTCTCTGCACACTGAATGGGTTCCGTGGGGAGGTAAACTTGTGGTTGGAAGTAAAAAGCCAACTAAGTCTCAGGCGTTCTGATTGTAGCTTAATCTGATGAGCCTAGAAAAACCAGTACAGAGTAATTTGCAGATATAAAATACTTTAGTAATATATTCAGATAACTTTTGCTCCTTTTTCCATTGTAAGTGAAATGCAGAATTCATTTCTAGATAAGTACAAGAAACTCATTCTTCAAATCTCTAAGACAAGTGAGGAATCACAGTTATGTCATAAAAATTGAAGAAAATGTACACTGGACACAGTTTTGTAGGTGTATCAATGATATCCCAGGAATTTCATTTCCTTAAAAAACCCATTGGAATTGATTTCAACTGATTTAAAAAGCTCCATTCCTTTAAAGGGCCAGGGCAACCCAACCTGCTTTCAGTTAAACCTGAAGAACACAGCGTTGGAAGTTTCTGATGAGTTGGTTCAGACTCTACATCTCAAGAGACAAATGACATTTTCCCTAATGACCTGTGACTAAATTTTTTCTTCTGTTTTAAGTTTAGAGATTTCAGAAATGGTGTGCATAAAAGTGCCTAAACTTTCCTGAAAACTTGTCCAGGGGCCCGGACTCCGGAATCTGCTTGATGGACGCAGATCAATTCTGAGAATGACTTGCAGTGCCATTTGAGAATAAACGTTTAGGGAACATCACTGCTACAGCATCATGTGCAATCAAAGGAACAGGGTAGGAAGTAGCCACTCTGAAAGTTTGTTTTATCTTTTTGCACATTTCCTTGACTTTTTTTTTTTTCTGATCCCCTCACAAAGAGGTTATAGTCCATGAATATCAAGAAGTTCTACAACTCTTCTAGAAATTCATAGTCACTATAAATATTTATTACTTTTAGACCGAGTGCTTAATGTTGCACACATGGTAGGGGATTCAATAAATACTTCTTGAATTTAAACATCTTACTTTTTAATGAGAGAGAAATAAAATTCAAATTAAAATATTAGGAATAAGTGAGAGGCTGTGTTATAGAATCATCAGGATGGTCAAATGCTGTATGTTGCTCAGCTGTGTGACTTTGGGCAACTTAGTCCAACTATCCCTTGGTTGCCTCATAAAGTAAAGATGATAAGAAAAATTCTTCACAGTATCCCATGAGGGCTAGTAAGATTACTATAAAAAATAGTTATAAAGTAAATAAAAATATAAATGAAAAATATAAAAATAAGTTAATTCTCCTATAGCATTTGGAATAATGTCAGGTATGAGGACAGGTACTCAAAGGTATGAACTGTTATTATACAGCAGAAGCATTTGAATGGATTATGCTGAACACGGTATGATGATTAGATCACAAGGGCCACAACACAATACCAGGTATTAGGGCTCCTGGGTGTCTCGGTCATTTACGCATCCAACTTCGGCTCAGGTCAAGATCTCGCGGTTCCCGGGTTCCAGCCCTGCAACAGGCTCTGTGCTGACAGCCCAGAGCCTGGAGCCTGCTTTGGACTCCGTGTTCCCTCTCTTTCTGTCTCTCTCTCTTTCTCAAAATAAACAAACATTAAAAAATATATATATATATGTGATATATATATATGTGATATATATATATGTGATATATATATATGTGATATATATATGTGATATATATATGTGTGATATATATATATATGTGTGATATATATATATATGTGTGATATATATATATATATATATATCAGGTATTATGCATGTACTTTACACAGATTTTCTCACTGAATTCTTACATCAGCCATACCAGTCACTTGCCAGGCTTGCACTGCTAGAATTTAGAACTCAGATCTGTCTGTCTATAAGCCTATCTTGCTTCTTAAGGTAAACTCAGATCTTCCCTCTGGAAGGTATAAGGGTGGCATCTGATAAGCCAGGAATTAAGTGTGGGCTCCTGTGTTCCCCAAGCTGCCCATTTACCCTATCCCCTTGCTGTATTTGTTCAGTCTGATTAATTGCTTAGCTTGGTTCCTGATGAGCAGCGTTCCGTGCCCTCTTCTTTCATTTAACGAATATGTCTGGAGGCAGAGGGCACTGTTGTGGGTGCTGGGGATGCAGCTGTGAGGATGATAAACGTGGCCACTGCCCTCATGGAGTTTGCAGTTGAGAAATCAATAGGGATACACAACCACTTACACAACAGTTGTTGAGTGGCATGGCAAGACACGTTCTGGAATGCTAGGATAATAACCTAGCAGGGAGATGCAGTGTAGTCTAGGAATCAAGGGAAAGGTCCTGGAAAAAAATTATGTCTCTGCTGAGACCAGAAGAAGAAAGTGAAAGAGAAAGAACAGACTGCTCCAGGTAAAAGGACCCATGTGGGCAGAGGCCCGGAGGGTGGAAGGGAGCCAAGCATCCTTGAAGAACTGAAAAAGTTCAATGTAATGGGATAACCAATGCAAGGGAGGCAGTGAGGAGGGCAGAGCTGAAGAGAAAAACAGGGCTCTTACCAGACTGCAACAAGGAGGCTGTATTATCCAAATTTCCATTTCTAAAAGTCATTCTGGTATAACGTGTGAAAAAACTTCGAGGCACGGAGATTGGAGCTAGGGAGGTGGTGGTGGGAATGAAGCCAAACAGAGCTAAGAGGTGGGGAGGAGAGGAATCCAAGGTGACTCCCGGGTTTCTGCATCTAGGTGGAGGGTGGTACCACCACCCACAGATATGGAAACATTTAGGAGAAGCAGGTTTGGGGAAAGCTACTGAATTGATTCTGTAGATGATGTAGCCTCTGAGGTACCTACAACACAGCTAATTGGAATCATCCAGAAGGTTGCTAGCTGGGTTTCTGGAACATAAGCACACAGATGGTTCTCCACTGGCTGGGAGTTATGAGTGCCCAAGAGGAACATGTAGCATAAAAGCAGAAGGCTTCAGACAGCTAAGCCCTGAAATTCAATATGAATGTGTCCTCACTGGCCCCTCCACACCCTTCCCAATGTCGTAATGCTGTTATCTCCCTGCCTGGAGAACCACCACTATTTAGTCACTACTACCACCAGTACCCAACCCATGACCCCAGATGCCCATGGGTATCACATGATGGCCTTTGTTAAGCCAGATTTTGCCATGTCTCATACTATAGTAATCTGGATGGGTATAATTTTTCCCTTGGCAATTAAATGCTCTGGCTTACAGCCTTCTACCATTAAATCTCAATATGTGGGATGCCTGCATGACTCGGCCGATTAGGAGTCCAACTCTTAAATTCCGATCAGGTCATGATCTCACGGTTCAGGGGTTCGATCCCCACATCCGGCTCTGTGCTGACAGTGTGGAACCTACTTAGGATTCTCATTCTCTCCCTCTGTGTCTGCCCCTTCCCTGCTCTTGCTCCCTCTTAAAATAAATAAAACTTTAAAAAATATATATTAAAAAAGTCCCAGTGTATTTTATAACCATTTCTTTCTAGTTACATGCACACTAGTGATGATCTAATGTGAACGCATTGTGAAAGAAGTCTGACATGAACTAAACAGATAAAATGAACTAATTAAATGAGTTTATAAAGCATCATTATGAACTACTCAATGTCCATCATTCATTCAACACTCATCAAACATTTATTATACTATAAACTGGGCCACATGTTAAGTTCTGGAGCTAAATATTTTTATTTGACGTCTTGAAAAGCAGCTAAATTAGTTTTCACTTGGGCAAAGGGATAGTGGCCTAGCTCAAGTCAAAGTCAATATCCGTATGCAGGTATCTACACCAGTGTTATACAAGCAGGGTGTGTAACTAGGCGTGCATCCCAGGGGTGTAAAAAAATAGTTAAAATGTTTTACGTTATTCAAGGTACGTTCATTCAGTCATTCCCAGATTATTCCAAGGTTGTTTTTCTAGAAAACATATATGCCTACCTAATTTATGTCGATGTGGGACTTTAGCAATCTCCAAACCCAGGGATGCAGAAATATCCCTAAGCCTCTAAATACCAAAAATAACCTTCATGACCTTCACATAGAGCCAACACAATAGCCATCTACTTTCCCAAACTCAACTTCTTTTTTTGTGAACATACACTTTCTAAACAAACTTTATTTTCTATTGTTTTAGCTCACAAAAAATTTAGGGCGCAGGGGCTTTGAGAAAAAGACATTAGCTAAGGGAGCTATTAGGTCAGAGAAAATGACAGCAGAAGAAATGGCAGATGACAGATAGGGAAGATACAGGAAAATAAACACTTCATAACAGTGCCTTTGTGAATTCAGTCCAGTGAAACAGTGAATGTTCCTAATGAGGTACCTAGGTCATTAAGAAAAGATTCAGTTATGTTAGTATTGCATTCTGTCTGAGGGAAGCAGGTCAGTATTTTTACATTCCAGGAAAAATTTCACCAAAAAATGTTCACATAAAAAAAATGTTGCTACTTGAAAGAGTATCTTTCACAGAATTACATTTTTATAGCTGCAAGGGAAATGAGCCACCGTGATTCCAGCCAATTTGTTTTAACTGTATTTCTCCACCTCCTAGTGCTTTCTCGAAGAGGAGAGGTCAAGTGGACAGGTTTCTGGAATCCCATTCTTACTTCAAATAGAGCACTTTCCTCTTTTTCTCTGTAACATTCTTATTAGTCCTCCCCTTAAAAATTTTTAAACGAGAAAACCAGTCTTTCTACTTTTTAAACATTTGAAAACCACCATCTTGTCCAACTCCTTCATTTAGCATGCAAAGAAATACAAAGACAAAGTTCATTAAGTTCAACAAATACATACTGAGTATTCACTATATGCCAAACCATATGCTGGCACTTCCTCTCTTCAAAAACAGGAGGGGCGCCTGGGTGGCTCAGTCTGTTAAGCGTCCGACTTCAGCTCAGGTCATGATCTCATGGTTCCTGGGTTCAAGCCCTGTGTCCAGCTCTGTGCTGCTAATGTGGAGGCTGCCTGGGATTCTCTCTCTCTCTCCCTGTCTCTCTCTACCCCTCCCTGACTTGCACTTTCTCTCTCTCTCAAAATAGAGGCTTAAAATAAACAAAATAAAAAAGTAAAAAAAACAAAAAAAACAAAAAAAACAAAAACCAACAGAGAATATACTAAGAGCTCATAGTGGAACCCTAGGGGC